GGATATTCACCCATCTGTAAATCAGGAGCTTAATTTATAGCATAATTTCTGTTCACCCAGCAACCAGGTCAAACACTGCTGAATGTTAGACTTGTATAAATACACCACACCTATGTCATTATGGGTGTTACGGTGAAGTGTGTGATCTGTCATATCGTGATTTTGCTTGGTGTTGTCACCTGTGATTTTACTGGTAGTTCTACGCTTGCTTTTAGGTTGAATCCATCTCCGTAGTAAATACAGCATTGGATTCAAGGAAGAGTCAAGTTTTGCTTTTGCAGTAGAGTTTGGATTTGTGCTTTTCCTTTATGGCCACTGTAAACAGTGCCTCTGCTGCTTGCTGCATTTCATTAAAGCAGAGGGAAGGAATGTAAGTTTCTGTCTTGTAGACAGCCTCCACATCCCAGGAGAGCTTTGAATTCATCTTTGCAAATCCACCTTCTGATTTTTCCAACACATATGTGTGTAGATGAGAAATCCATATGAGGCTTTTTCAGCTTAAAGTAACCGGTCACTAACATATGGAAACACAATTTATCTCGTCTTGGAGCAACTGAGACATCACAACATCTACTCCTTTCAGTTGGGAGTAGAAAGGAGGGTTGTTGTTTTTCGCTATGGATTTTATTGGGCTGCAGACTTGGGGTCCATTTTAAAACGAAAAGTCCTCATTAAACTCGGAGAAAGCACCGAAATATGCTTTCACTTGCCCAGATGTCTTATTCACTGAACGTCTCGGAGAGTGAAGCAGTTACTGATAGAATTATTTGTTCTTTATTTTCGACAAGGTGAAGTAGTGGCTTTTCCGCTTTTAGCGTAGTTCCCAATTTGAGATGGAAATGGAGTCCATATCCTGTGTGGCTTTCCTGCTTTCTGCCTTCGGCCCCCGGATGACTTAAATGTTGTCCACAGAATATTAGAACTGGTTACGCTTTGGGAAATCCTGACCCGACTGAGTTAACCTTCAGATTCTTGACAGAATGCTGTGGCCTTTTTCAAAGTGACTGGGGATTACACAAATATAAACACTCACAGATGCAGAAGACTGAGGCTCCGTAGAGTATCCCTGATATTTTTATTCTTGGGATGCTAGAGTGTGGAAGTGGGTAAGGATGTACTGGCAGGTCTCGGAACACCACGCTGTGGGCACTCAGGAGGTGGATGGTGAGTGCAGTAGGAAGATTTCCTACAAGTGTTCAGTCTGTCGATCCGTTGTCTCCGACGTCTTGCCTTTGTGCTTGAAAGGGTTAAAGCTTTCTTGTGGGGCCCTTGGGGAGAAGGGAAATCGCATAAAAAGACAAATGTCAGAAAAAAAAAGTAATTTTACAGCTTGAAGCCCCACTTATTTAACAGACTGTGGGGAGAGTTCTGGGAGCGGTTTTATTAAAAGCCACTGAAGGAACATCACACAGTCACACTGAGCTTTTTCCACATTTCGATCATTTGTTCCACAGTTGAAATGTCTGTTTTCAGCAAAGGCTGGTTTGGAAATTCAGAGGTATGCTGGAGACTGCGGCTTTTGTTTTATGAAAAGTGACATTAAAAATGCAATCCAAGTCAGCATTTTCCATCCTACCAAGATGATTGGGCACAAGCTGTTTGGTGCTTAAGCAGCCTGAAGGGCGGAGAGAAAACGGCCTTAAAAAGCTGACTGCAATTAATTTGCAATGTGATTTTAATGAAATGTTTTATAGACACTAGAAACTTGAGGGCTGTGAGGCAAGGTTGAGTATCATTATTAACCCACAGGATTTCTACCCCCTTGCAGTATAGGGTGCATACACCAGAATCCAAGACAAATGTTAAAATGTTTTATGTTC